CTCACACTCACACACGCGGGATACATTTTAGGGATTCGTCCTCACGCTCACACTCACACACGCGGGATACATTTTAGGGATTCGTCCTCACGCTCACACTCACACACGCGGGATACATTTTAGGGATTCGTCCTCACGCTCACACTCACACACGCGGGATACATTTTAGGGATTCGTCCTCACGCTCACACTCACACACGCGGGATACATTTTAGGGATTCGTCCTCACGCTCACACTCACACACGCGGGATACATTTTAGGGATTCGTCCTCACGCTCACACTCACACACGCGGGATACATTTTAGGGATTCGTCCTCACGCTCACACTCACACACGCGGGATACATTTTAGGGATTCGTCCTCACGCTCACACTCACACACGCGGGATACATTTTAGGGATTCGTCCTCACGCTCACACTCACACACGCGGGATACATTTTAGGGATTCGTCCTCACGCTCACACTCACACACGCGGGATACATTTTAGGGATTCGTCCTCACGCTCACACTCACACACGCGGGATACATTTTAGGGATTCGTCCTCACGCTCACACTCACACACGCGGGATACATTTTAGGGATTCGTCCTCACGCTCACACTCACACACGCGGGATACATTTTAGGGATTCGTCCTCACGCTCACACTCACACACGCGGGATACATTTTAGGGATTCGTCCTCACGCTCACACTCACACACGCGGGATACATTTTAGGGATTCGTCCTCACGCTCACACTCACACACGCGGGATACATTTTAGGGATTCGTCCTCACGCTCACACTCACACACGCGGGATACATTTTAGGGATTCGTCCTCACGCTCACACTCACACACGCGGGATACATTTTAGGGATTCGTCCTCACGCTCACACTCACACACGCGGGATACATTTTAGGGATTCGTCCTCACGCTCACACTCACACACGCGGGATACATTTTAGGGATTCGTCCTCACGCTCACACTCACACACGCGGGATACATTTTAGGGATTCGTCCTCACGCTCACACTCACACACGCGGGATACATTTTAGGGATTCGTCCTCACGCTCACACTCACACACGCGGGATACATTTTAGGGATTCGTCCTCACGCTCACACTCACACACGCGGGATACATTTTAGGGATTCGTCCTCACGCTCACACTCACACACGCGGGATACATTTTAGGGATTCGTCCTCACGCTCACACTCACACACGCGGGATACATTTTAGGGATTCGTCCTCACGCTCACACTCACACACGCGGGATACATTTTAGGGATTCGTCCTCACGCTCACACTCACACACGCGGGATACATTTTAGGGATTCGTCCTCACGCTCACACTCACACACGCGGGATACATTTTAGGGATTCGTCCTCACGCTCACACTCACACACGCGGGATACATTTTAGGGATTCGTCCTCACGCTCACACTCACACACGCGGGATACATTTTAGGGATTCGTCCTCACGCTCACACTCACACACGCGGGATACATTTTAGGGATTCGTCCTCACGCTCACACTCACACACGCGGGATACATTTTAGGGATTCGTCCTCACGCTCACACTCACACACGCGGGATACATTTTAGGGATTCGTCCTCACGCTCACACTCACACACGCGGGATACATTTTAGGGATTCGTCCTCACGCTCACACTCACACACGCGGGATACATTTTAGGGATTCGTCCTCACGCTCACACTCACACACGCGGGATACATTTTAGGGATTCGTCCTCACGCTCACACTCACACACGCGGGATACATTTTAGGGATTCGTCCTCACGCTCACACTCACACACGCGGGATACATTTTAGGGATTCGTCCTCACGCTCACACTCACACACGCGGGATACATTTTAGGGATTCGTCCTCACGCTCACACTCACACACGCGGGATACATTTTAGGGATTCGTCCTCACGCTCACACTCACACACGCGGGATACATTTTAGGGATTCGTCCTCACGCTCACACTCACACACGCGGGATACATTTTAGGGATTCGTCCTCACGCTCACACTCACACACGCGGGATACATTTTAGGGATTCGTCCTCACGCTCACACTCACACACGCGGGATACATTTTAGGGATTCGTCCTCACGCTCACACTCACACACGCGGGATACATTTTAGGGATTCGTCCTCACGCTCACACTCACACACGCGGGATACATTTTAGGGATTCGTCCTCACGCTCACACTCACACACGCGGGATACATTTTAGGGATTCGTCCTCACGCTCACACTCACACACGCGGGATACATTTTAGGGATTCGTCCTCACGCTCACACTCACACACGCGGGATACATTTTAGGGATTCGTCCTCACGCTCACACTCACACACGCGGGATACATTTTAGGGATTCGTCCTCACGCTCACACTCACACACGCGGGATACATTTTAGGGATTCGTCCTCACGCTCACACTCACACACGCGGGATACATTTTAGGGATTCGTCCTCACGCTCACACTCACACACGCGGGATACATTTTAGGGATTCGTCCTCACGCTCACACTCACACACGCGGGATACATTTTAGGGATTCGTCCTCACGCTCACACTCACACACGCGGGATACATTTTAGGGATTCGTCCTCACGCTCACACTCACACACGCGGGATACATTTTAGGGATTCGTCCTCACGCTCACACTCACACACGCGGGATACATTTTAGGGATTCGTCCTCACGCTCACACTCACACACGCGGGATACATTTTAGGGATTCGTCCTCACGCTCACACTCACACACGCGGGATACATTTTAGGGATTCGTCCTCACGCTCACACTCACACACGCGGGATACATTTTAGGGATTCGTCCTCACGCTCACACTCACACACGCGGGATACATTTTAGGGATTCGTCCTCACGCTCACACTCACACACGCGGGATACATTTTAGGGATTCGTCCTCACGCTCACACTCACACACGCGGGATACATTTTAGGGATTCGTCCTCACGCTCACACTCACACACGCGGGATACATTTTAGGGATTCGTCCTCACGCTCACACTCACACACGCGGGATACATTTTAGGGATTCGTCCTCACGCTCACACTCACACACGCGGGATACATTTTAGGGATTCGTCCTCACGCTCACACTCACACACGCGGGATACATTTTAGGGATTCGTCCTCACGCTCACACTCACACACGCGGGATACATTTTAGGGATTCGTCCTCACGCTCACACTCACACACGCGGGATACATTTTAGGGATTCGTCCTCACGCTCACACTCACACACGCGGGATACATTTTAGGGATTCGTCCTCACGCTCACACTCACACACGCGGGATACATTTTAGGGATTCGTCCTCACGCTCACACTCACACACGCGGGATACATTTTAGGGATTCGTCCTCACGCTCACACTCACACACGCGGGATACATTTTAGGGATTCGTCCTCACGCTCACACTCACACACGCGGGATACATTTTAGGGATTCGTCCTCACGCTCACACTCACACACGCGGGATACATTTTAGGGATTCGTCCTCACGCTCACACTCACACACGCGGGATACATTTTAGGGATTCGTCCTCACGCTCACACTCACACACGCGGGATACATTTTAGGGATTCGTCCTCACGCTCACACTCACACACGCGGGATACATTTTAGGGATTCGTCCTCACGCTCACACTCACACACGCGGGATACATTTTAGGGATTCGTCCTCACGCTCACACTCACACACGCGGGATACATTTTAGGGATTCGTCCTCACGCTCACACTCACACACGCGGGATACATTTTAGGGATTCGTCCTCACGCTCACACTCACACACGCGGGATACATTTTAGGGATTCGTCCTCACGCTCACACTCACACACGCGGGATACATTTTAGGGATTCGTCCTCACGCTCACACTCACACACGCGGGATACATTTTAGGGATTCGTCCTCACGCTCACACTCACACACGCGGGATACATTTTAGGGATTCGTCCTCACGCTCACACTCACACACGCGGGATACATTTTAGGGATTCGTCCTCACGCTCACACTCACACACGCGGGATACATTTTAGGGATTCGTCCTCACGCTCACACTCACACACGCGGGATACATTTTAGGGATTCGTCCTCACGCTCACACTCACACACGCGGGATACATTTTAGGGATTCGTCCTCACGCTCACACTCACACACGCGGGATACATTTTAGGGATTCGTCCTCACGCTCACACTCACACACGCGGGATACATTTTAGGGATTCGTCCTCACGCTCACACTCACCTGGGTGCGTGTTTCATTCCTGAGCAGGTGCCTATGGGAGGCAACCGATGGATGTTTCTCTCATGCCGATGTCCCTCTCTCTCTCTCTCTCTCTCTCTCTCTCTAAATAAATAAAATCAATAATTTATAAATCACTGTTGAAAGCAGCCATGGAGACCCTGGTTCGGGCTTTCCCCGGAGCGGGGATGCCGCCCCACGGTCCCGACAGCTGGCTGTGGCCCGTGAAGGTAGAAATACCATCCTCTCAATGGACATGAGACATAGTACATTACTCCTAATCCAATCTTTCTCCTGCAGTTTATCCTCAGAGGCGTCTCCCTGGGAAAGCGTGGCAAAGAAGCAAGCAACGCCGCCTCCACGCGATGGCCTGGCTGGTGGTTCTGCTGCCGGGAGCATCGTCCGGGGTGCCAGGAGGTGGGGGTGGGCTCCTGGACAGGCACACACCTGGGTGCGTGTTTCATTCCTGAGCAGGTGCCTATGGGAGGCAACCGATGGATGTTTCTCTCACGCCGATGTCCCCCTCTCTCTCTCTCTCTCTCTCTCTCTCGTCAATAAACATATCCTTGGGTGAGGATTAAAAAACCCAAAAATCCTTGCCAGTGAGCATTCTTGATGTCAGGGAGAATACTGCATAGCGACAGCAAATTCACGTGCATGTGAGTGTGAGGACGGGCACGCGTCACACCACCACGGGGGCACACAAGGGCGTACCTGTGTTTGTAGAGGTAAAACGCAAACCCTGACAAGATGAGAGCGAAGAACGGGACCAGGATGGCGGCTGCGACAGAGCCGCTGCTGGTGCCCAGGTGGCGGTGAGCAGCGTCCTGGTCAGAGCTCAGGGCATCTGGAAGAGAAAGGGATACGTCCTCACGCTCACACTCACACATGCAGGGTACATTTTAGGGATTCGTCCTCACACTCACACCCACATGCGGGATACATTTTAGGGATTCGTCCTCACGCTCACACTCACACACGCGGGATACATTTTAGGGATTCGTCCTCACGCTCACACTCACACACGCGGGATTCATTTTAGGGATATGTCCTCATGCTCACACTCACACCCGCAGGGTACGTTTTATAAAGGGAAGCGAATTCTACAGGAAGCGGGAGTTTAAGCCCATAAGGACCAACTGGTCCTCATTCGGAAGGACTGTAGTTCATGGACATCTTTCTGACCAGGACCCCGCCCTCCCCGCAAGGCCAGCAGGATGCCCTATGACCCTCCCGCTCCCGCTGAGTAAGGCAACTAACGGGTCTCACACTCCGATCTGTGCCCGTGGCTTCCACCACCTGCCTTAGCAGAGGGCACCCTGTGGTGTCACCTCTGCAGACGCGGGCGCATTTGCTGTCCTCTCACGTCCTCAGTTCGGACCCGCAGGTACAGGTCACGGAAGGGCCTGGCCACCCCGGTCTCTGTGCAGAAGGCAGTGCGCTCCCATCGTGTGAGTGTGTGTGTAGATTCAAAATCCAGGGCAGAGCTCGGGAGCTCTCAGCAGAACGCAGCTCTGCCTCAGCGGG